CCTGCACTGTGTGAAGCATTTCCAACTAATTATGGGTTTATCATTTTATTTATAAATATATAACCTAATAACAAGAGGATTTAATTCACATTTCACTGTCATCAGATATTCCCAGTGTCATCTGCATGTAACCATATCAGGAGGACACTGACTAGCTCTGTTGGTCTAAGGACACAGGCAGACAAGACCTTTTGGGTAAATCTAATATCTTTTATTACTTGATTAATTTATTATTTATTTTATTTAATAAATTATTATTTATTATTTTCTTAATCTGGGAGCTTTGGGGCATCCTTCACTTTGTAGCAATAGTTGCACTACAACATCCAGTGCTTGGGAGGGAGGCAGACTGTCTGAATCCATGAGAAGAGCAGATCTTTTATGGCTGCACAGAAGATTGATCCATGGAGGAAATTTCCACCTTGAGAGCTAGGAAGCTGTGTGTCCCTTTTTGCTACGGAGGTCATGTGATCCTCAAGGTGATTTTCAAGGGCTGAGGTTAAAGCTGCAAGCTCTACCTACTCAGTGAATCCCAATTTGCAAACATCAGCCCAAGCCCAGGGGACCGGACAGGTGGTGGTGGTAGGTGTGATGGGGAATCCATCGATCTGGTGATCTTCCTGACAGTAGCATTCAAGTCATCCCAATCCTGGCTCTGTCTCAGTGCACTTTCCCAGCACAACGCTGCGAGTGCACTGCGGTTCTGATCTGCGCCGCCCCTTGCTATTTCAGCTCTGACTCTTGCTCTAAAAATGTGCCGTGCTATATATAGGTGCTGAATCTAGTAATCCTGCCGCGAAAGGATTGTGGCTGAAATGGAGCAGCATGGGCAGTGGAAAGCCTGAGCTCAGCCGCGATGGAGCAGCAAGGGGGAACGCTGCCACGCCGAGCCATGGGACAATTTCACACCCCAGCAGATTAGAGAGCAAAGCAAAAGCTTCCTCTAACCTCCTCCCTGAAAAGCACCTGGTGGGACTGCTGATTGAATGCTTCCCACTGGAAGGCAATGGGATGAAGTTTCCTCCGTGCCTTAGAGACTGCTGCTTATTGCAGCCAATGGGATAATTAAAAATATGCAAATCTCCCCTGGAGCTGGATGGTAGCACAGTTCAGTCAGTGCTGAATGCTAGAGAAAAATCTACCCTGTTCGCTCTTTGAATCCACGACTCTCTCTTGCGGAGGTGGGCAGCACTCAGAGCAGCAGAGCCTGATGCAGAACTGTAAGCCCAGTGCTTCATCCAGTCCCCCATCCCCTCCCTGGGGGAGAACTGCATGTTCAATAAGGTGTGCTGTTTTCTGAAGAGTTGTGGTAGGAGGAGGGTTGTTTTTCATGTCCCCGCTGTCAAGGGGAGCGACAGGTTGTGTGCAAGTGTGAAGGTAAAGTCCAAATAGCATGCCAGGCCCTTGGACTGGAAGAGGGCGAGGTCCACGGTGCCCTGGCAAGTTCACTGTACCTCTCTGCAGGATGGATTGTATTTTGGGGACAGAAAGCATCTTTATATTGTGGAGCGGAGCTGCCACCAGCAAGCTCCGTCTGGACGCTGCGGATGTCAAGCCTGGGCCAGGGGGAGCCTTGGCAATAAAGGCTCAGACCTTGAACTGGGCTTAGCCTTCTGGAGGAAGCTGGGGTGGGCATCCCACTCACAGCAGCATGCTTTGTACAGGACATGTGTGGCACGGCTCTGTCCCAGTTGCTATCTCCTAAGGGCGGGCGGCTTTGTGCTCAGACAGTCCATTTCATCACGGCCCAAAATAACCCTACTCAAGAGTTGAGTCCTGCAGACCTTATCGACACAAGGATCTCTCCCAAGAGCCGTCCCCTGGGGGCCAGGGGAAACGCTTGCCTGAGCTAGGATTTCTTTCAGGGAGGGCTGCAGGCGCGGAGGCCGACGTGCAGACTGGTCCAAATGTGCTCTGCAAAGCAGGCAGGCATCATTCCTTCTCAGTGGAGCCTGATGGCTTCCACTGAAGCACCAAAAACAGGAACAGCAGGCTCTTTTGGAAATCCTCTTCCCAGCACAGTCCTGCCATTGCCTTCTCCAAGGTGGAGGATGCTTCTGAGGAGTCTGGCTGGCTGCAGTGCCCTTGCTGGTCGGGGACGTCGCTTTGAAAAGGTGTGCAGCATATTCACGTGGATCTGGCGCAGCTAAGGGCAAGGGCAGCGCGGTGCCAGCTTCTTTTCTGCCGTCAGAAAGGAAACAAACACCTCTGGAACAATGCTCTGGTGCTGCCGGTGCGGCTGGGCGAGCGTGAAAGTCTGCAGCTGCGGCCGAGTCACTGCGTTTTAAAATCCCTCCCCAGAAAACGGGTTTTTCCAAATAAACAACGGCAGCAAAATATAATCCTAAGACTCACATAGGCCTTCGCATCCGATTTGTTGCAGGCGGTGTGCTTTGGAGCTTAACGGCCCTCTGTGCTTCTGTGATTTTTAATAGAGAGCTGGAAAATGCTCCAGGTGGAACCACACAGCTCATTCAGTCAGACCGCAACGTGCCAGTTCATCAATGGTGTCTGCATGCTCGTGACAAGGCTGCCAGGCTATTTGATCTGAAAGCCCTTGCAGGAAAATACAGTGAGTCCAGATGCCCTTCAGCCTGCACGGAGCATGCTTTGGATACTTTCAGCTTGAATAATCCTGTTACATATATATACACATGTATATATTAGTATTCTCATTATATAAAAATTAGCAAATACAAATGACAACTCAACTTTTTTTCTTTTTTTTCTTGCTTTTTGCAAAGTAGACTTCCTGTTTTCTTCCCGGCTCCTGTTTATACCTCCTCCTGAGTTTTGGAAACGTTTGAATTCTGCATTTATATACCCATTGAGAGTGCAATATGATGCTTTTGCTTCTTGTTGCATCAAAGATGTTAAACCTGGTTTTCCTGAGCCTTGAAAAGTATTAATGAATCATTATTGTAGCATGGTCACCTAGAGGAAACAGTGTGCTTTGAACTCATCTTGAAAGCATATAAAAGATCTATGAAATGGATATGACTCATTAGGTCACCTAGTCCAGTCCTGCTGTCCCTCCAGTGGGGTTTGTGGTGCCCAGGAGAAGAGAAACTTGAAGCTTTAGGCATAACTCAGCATTCTCCAGAAAGCTGTGTCTGACCTTGGAAATTTTGCACCGTTAACCAGTATAGCATGAATATCATTTAAATATGAAATCTCCATAACGAACTAACAGGAAAACACAATCTCATATCCACGTAGGCAGCATCTCAAATGCCTTGTACCCAAAATAGGTAAAGAAAAGATGCCCATCATTTCCTGCATCAACAAAAAAGATCTTGTTTAGACAAACCAGACTTGACAGTCCCCCTTGAGTTTCGAAGAACAAGCACTGCCAGGGGGCCACGATAGTCCCTCAGCTCACTACGAGGATGTGCATGAAGGCTGACGGAGGCACACTCAGCAACTACTCGGCAAACCCTTTTGTACAAGGAAGCTACTGCAAAAACTGGGCTTGGGCTTCCTGCTTGCCAGAAGGCTAAGAAAGGGCAGAGATGGAGGAAAGGAATGAAGGCATTTGGAGACTCAACAGTATAAAGCACGTTTTAGGGCTCGGTGTTAAGTTAACACTGGAGGAAATCTAACGGCCGGAGGAGTTGTGTTAGTATTAAAGCTTGTCTAGATGCACGTTGCTGGACTAATGGCAACCTGAGGGATAGGAAGATTTATTTTTATGATGAGAACAGCAAATTCTTACAAGAGCTTCTGAGTCAAAACGACTGAGTGAGAACAACAATGACCACAAGCCAATGGAGCATGCACCCAGAGGTGGGTTCAGATCATGCAACAGCAGGTGCTTTGCATCACAGGGACCCAGTGCACACATTGCTGAAGGCAAGACACCGCTGGGTTTTGAGAACGTGACCTGAAAAATGGCTGCTTGTAAATGCGCTGATCGGAAAAAGAGCACAAAGTCAGCTCGTGTGAGAGCCCAGGAAGACAGGCTGGCCTGGAAAGTTTCAAACTTGGAGTGGGATCCCAAGGGGAAAAGGATTGGGCTGGCTGGGGTACAGGTGCCCACAGAGAGCTGGACCCTCTCCAGACATGGAGCGCTGGCTCCAAGGTGTGCATAAAAATCAAGACCCTCAAAGCTGACTGCTAAATCTGCAGTTATCAAGATGATGCTTACATGCATGTATAAAGACACGGGTGTGTGCATGTACATGCATGTGCATATACTCTGTAATGATGTGCTGCAGTATAAAAACATTTCAAAACCGGCCCTGAGCCCTGATGCTTAATAGAGGGAGTGCTAGGATGGGAGATAACAGGGGGAAGGAGATTTTGGAAGAGGACACAGAGGCAGGGAAGGGGTGAAAGGTAAAGAGTGCTGTCTAGGCATGTTTTTACACAACCACCAATTTCCATCCCTTCTCTCCATGCCAGTATTTCTTCACAGGACTTGAAAGCCTCACCTCTCTCTTTTCTCTGCCCTCCTACACCTACACATTTTCATTCCCCTTTTCTTGCTGTCTTTGGAAAGGGCATTTCTCCTTGATCCGCCGGGTTTTTTTTTCTCATAACACTTCCAAAGACAAGGGACGTATGTTCACAGGACGGCCGTGGCTGAACAATTACACACGTGCTGCACTCTACACACACCATCCCCATTTAGCAAGGCGCTGAAACATGTTCTTTGCACGTACGCACACACACTTACTTACATCCCAGTGACCTCAGTAATACCCCGGCATGTCTTTAAGGGCTCTCCTGAATAGGGCTCATGTGAAGTTTACCTGTTCCAGATGCAAAACCTGATCCAGGGTAATCCCCCCTTCGTGGAAGTGCAGGTTTCACATCCGGATGAAAACAGAGCGCGCTTCCCTTTGCATGTTCCAATGCTTCTTTCTGACCTGAATGTCGATGAGCACAGATCTAAGCTCCCCGAGCCGATTTGTTCTGCATGCAAAACAGCAGGGCTGGGCAACAGCAGAGCAGAGCAGAGCCAGCAGGAGGGCAAAGGATAAATGGAGATAACTCACGTGGGCTTGGAAGCCTCAGCCTGGTCGGTCTGCAGTTTCTCTCCACCTTCGACTTCCATAGTGCAATAAACAATGCGGTTCGGAGCTAAGGACTTCAGGCCCTGCACTTCCATGATGACGACCTGCAGAGTGGACAGAGGATACACGAGGGAAGGACTAAGCAAGATCAAACACAACTGGCCTCCTCAGACCTGGAGGGCTGCCCTCAGGAGGTGCTGAGTACCCTTTTCCCTTTGCACTGATGGCCCCGAAAAGAAAAGAGAAAAGCGATTTTCACCAGGAGCTGAAACAACGTGACGGCATAGCTGTTTGCATCATCTCAGCATCTCGCTTGTGAAGAGCTCGAGGCTTCTGGGAGCCAGGCTAAGATTGTGGGGGGGGTGCGGGCAGCCTGCCTATTGGCCTTCAAGAACGAGCAATAACAAGGCGCCCCCGCAAACCACAAGCCAATTTGCAGGGCACTTTCCAAACTTACAATGCTCCCTGTGCTTCTCTAATAGTTTTTCAGCTCTCAAGCAAGGCTCACTGAGGAACAAAGTGACACCTCTAATTGGCAATAATCAAATGCAAAGACACCTGAAGCAAGAGGCATTTGTAATGCAGGAGCCAGTAATAAAGGACATGTCTGTGTGAAATCACACCGATGGATGTTCTGCCCCTGAACTTCTGTTTCTGAGCCATCAGCCCCTTATTACTGCAGAAAGGGACTGGGACTTGGCAGGTCTCTGAGGTGGCGCACAGACACCAGGCAGCCAGATTCACCCCTGAAATAATCCCAAAGCTTTTGGTGAAGTTACATTAGGGATGAGCTTGGCTCCAGGTAGCCACATGTGGTACAGCCCCTGTCTCCCATTGCAAAGATGATACCTAATAGTGCTACTCTGAGTGATTTTCTACCAGCCCCCTTGAGTTTCAACACAACAGAGGCATCCAAATGGCCGTTTAGAATCAGCCGCTCTCGGACAATACGAAATTGTTTTACTGATCTCTGCCCATCCTCAAGCTGCTACAAGCTGCTATTGTAATATCCACCCTCATCATTTGCACCGATTGCTGTAACAGTTAATCACACTAACTCTGCAGAATTTACAATGGAATGGAGAAAGTTTTTATAGCTTTTACCTCCAAGGAGAAAGAGAGCACAACATCCGACTTGGAAAGCTGGTTTTCATTTTCTTCTCCCATGTCGATGATGGAGGTGTTGTGGCTACGTTTCAGCTTCTGCAACTTGAACTCCGAGCCCCCTTTGGATACGGGCATGCTTTCCAAATTGGCCATCAGCAGGTTGACGGATGACTTCAGCTCCTCAATGTACATGTTTTCCATTTCTTTGGATACAAATTTTGGAAACTTGCGTTCCTAGGATTAAAAGACAAACCATCCAACCCACCTGTTAAGATTCAATAGATAAATCGGCAGTCACTCGTTGCATTAGGTGTTGAGTGTCATGCAATGGAAAAAACCTGGCAGTGCCCCTCCATGCATTTGGAGCGTGTCCTGTTAAACACACCCAAGGCCAGCTCCTCAGCTATCAAGAAGTCAATCTGCCAGTTGACACCTCCCCTCTCCCAGTTCAGCCCACAGCTCTCCAGTTTGTTTACTTCAGTCTTGGGAGTTTTCTGTCTTCATGGCACCTCCATCACAATGTGCCTGTAGGTAACCTGACAAGAAAAGAGTCCTCATTCCCTTTTCAATGGGCTGGTCCAAGACACAAGAGACACAGTAAGTGACTTGCCAAAGGTCACAAACAGAGTCTGTGGCAGAGCCAGAAACTGATCCCAGCTGCCCTGAGTGCAGGGTAATGCCATAGCCTGGAGGCCATCCTTTCCCCTGAGCTGGTATGGCCAAGTGTGCCCAGCTGTGGTTCATCGAATTTCAATGACTCCTAAGTTGCTTTAGGCCGAGCCTCGACGGGAGGAAGAGGTGTTCACGGAAATTAGTCCTGGCACAGTCAGGACTAATTTGATATTGTTTTATGGCACATACTTTGCATAAGACAGGGGCCACCGATAAAACATCGGAGTGTATTTTAGATGTCAGGACTGCTGATTGATGTTCTGATGCTGAGGCATTAATGCTTCATCACCAGGATACTCATCTCTCCAAATGCACCGGTTTTGGCACTGTTTCCACGAGCCACGAGTTCAATAAGAGGAGGATCTGAAGCATCTCAGTGGATTCCTCGTGGGGAGTCCAGCCCTTGTAGACCCCACTGAAGGGGGTCAACACTTCAGGGAGAGGGGCTCAGTTCCCTCTCCTGCAATGTGGGACACCTGAGAGGAGCGTGTTGGGCAGGGGTGTCATGGGAAGCAGGTGAGGAACAGAGGTGGGGATTGCTGAGGCTGCAGAGCAGGTTCAGTACCATCAGGACATCATGTCTTGGTGGATGCCATTTCCAACAGCACTTCCCCACTGCTCCCTCTCATTTCCCAGGGGGAATTTCCCTCTCATTTCCAGGGGGAATCCATCTTGAGCAACGCTGATACCACCGAGTCCTGCATGCTTAGAGCCAAGCCCTAAGTCTCCTGGTTTTAGGTCGCAATGGTTGAGGAGAAAAAGTTATCTTGGAAGGGGAAGTGTGTGATGGTCACGCAAAGTCTTGCTCGGTCTGGTTACCATATTTACACGGTTTCCTTACCTTGGCGATTTGCTCTGCCATTTGAAGACGCCCATCTAACTCACGCCGGATTTGCGCTGCTTGCTCGTCTGGATTATCCAGCTGTACAAGGCACAAAGAAGATGGGACAAAAGAGGTCACGAAGGCATTGCCCGTGAGAAGCTGCTCAGCATCTTTAATATGTTAATTAGTTCACGTTCATATTGCGATAGCACTTGCAGACCCCAGCCAGGGTCAGGATCCTATTGCCATAGGCTCTGCACACACTGGTCTTTAAATGAGCTGGCCCAGTCAAAAGCCATTTGTCAGACTGCGTGAGTTGTCCTCCTGGGAAAAAAATCTACCATGGGGAGGTGTTAGCCCCCCTGTGCAGCTGAACAAGTGGGGAAACTAGTCTCATTGATGCTTTAAGTGGCTTAAAAATGGCACTAGGTAATGCAGAGGGAGTGCATAACAACACCCCCATGTAGACACAGGGGCGGGGTGAGACCTCATCCAAGGCATCACCTCTGCCTGTAGGCCCAAAGTTCCCTGTTGCTGTGCTAAGTTTGGCCTCCAACCACCCACCTGGCACCTTCCCGGGATGTTCAATATCTCATGATTGGCATCTCATCTCGATCTCTCACATCTCACCTACTTCACCCCCACTTTTCTTTGTTCATGCTCCCACTTGCTCAGACCCACTCCTCTCCTATCACCTCCTCCTCGGATGTTACGCTTGCAGCTTCAGGGCCTTGGATCCATCCTGGGGGTTCGTGACCATCCGCATGGCTAGTGTCTACTATTCGCAACAGGCGCTCCGGGCTCTTGCTCTTTCTAAAAATACTAGGAAGAGCTGTTACAACTGCTCTCCCAGAGGGTTCAGAGGAGGACGTGATGGGCGGCTCTCAAAGTTTGCTGTGCCTTTTATTTGCGCTGTGCCTTGCAGTATCCCTCGTGTCAGTTTGATTTGAATGGCGAGAGCTTTTAATTAAGCAATGGTGGCTGAAGGGGAGGGCATTTCGTAGCCACTAATGACTCAAGGCTGCAAGCAAAGCCAAGGGCTTGGGATCGAGCTGGTCAGTCCATGCTTGGAAGCACTCTGCCCAGAGATCCTGTGTTGCAATAAAACAGGAAAACACACATGGGAAAGACACACAGAGAGAGGTACCTTTCCCCTTTCTTAAACATCTTTTATGGTGTCAAGTTAAAAGTTGCAGTGTTTGTGTCCACAAAAGCAGCACTATCCTAGCAGCAAAAAGTCCAGGGTGCAAACCTGGAGTCCCTAATGAGCCAAACTTCCCACTGACTCAGGCCCAGGGGCTATTCTGAGACAGCTGCAGGGGACATCCGTTTCATCTGAATGGGAATAAAAGAGAAATTGCTAACAGCACAGGTGCTAAATTCACAGCAGCTTTAACACGAATTTAAAAAAAAGAAATAGACGGAAAGCAGGAAGTATGTCTTGTTTGAACATTCAATGGTGGCAGATGACGAGACAAGGAGCAATGGTATCAGGTTGCTGCTAGGAAGGTTGAGATTGGATATTAGGAAAAACTCTCTTGCTAGGAGGGTGGTAAAGCACTGCAACAGGTTACCCAGAGAGGTGGGCGACTCTCCATCCTTGGCAGTTTGTATGACCTGGCTAGACAAGGCCTTGGCTGGGATGATGTATATTTGGGGCTGGTCCTGCTTTGAGCAGGGGTTGGACTAGATGTGGCCTCCTAGATCCCTTCCAACCTTTGTTTTCTATGATTCTGTGATTTATACTGATTCCCTGGTGCCTCATTCCTGATAACTCATATGGCTTTGGGATTTTAGTCGCATGTTCCTAATGACACCAGTTGAAGCCCAACTGCGTTGCCCCTACAAACCAGCTGAAATGGGGGCAGAGTAGTTCTGTGGCACTTAAGGCTGTTCTTTACTTTTTGGTTGAAGACAGGCAGGGACTGGTCTGGTCTCTCTGACTCCAGGGTTAACCTATTGCACCCAGTGACAATACACTGGTATAAAACAAGCGTGAAGTCAGAATCAGACCCAAAAGAAGCATTGCCAGAGGAATAGTGTGACAGTATTATGGACACTTTCCATACTACTACTACTGGGCTTTCAAACTCCATCAAGAGATGTGGAGACAGCAGGAACCTGAAAGCTTGAATGGACCACATGCTAGTAACGATCCCTCTCTCTTCCTGGGATGCACACTATCACCCAGGTCAGAAGCACGAAACATTTCCACCCTGTTTTGTTTCATCTTTCTGCTTAACGTAAGAGTCAACTGTAATTCTCAGGTCACCCTCTCCTTTCTTAGGAGCATCTCTCTGCAGGAGACAAGCTTTCTATGGTTAAAATCTCAGGCCAGGTGTTTTGTATGCGACAACCCCAAGACCATTCTTGAGTCTTATCAGCAGTATCCTACCAAAAAGACTTTTATTGCAATGTACAGCATACAACTCCACTCTCTTCCCCTTACTATGTGGCTCTTCTATAATGCTGTTGCTCAGTGACCCTGCCCTGGCTATTGGGAAGCAACTTTGCCACGAGCCACTGTACACTGGCTGCACTCAGTGACAGCTACCCATAAAGCAATTTTATAGGTTGGCTTGGGGTTGCTGTAACCGTCTCCCTATGTTTTATCCTTCTCCAGAGACAAATTGCTCTATAGAGCAAAGGCTTGCTTGGTGCACTGCAGTCTGGAAAGTTACAGCTCCAGCAGCCATTAAAGTTTCAATCCTCATTCTGACTAGATGCAAGTGCTTGCGTTATAGTTTCCCGAATGTGCTGCAATCTGCCAGCGATTCAACAAGGGGCTGAAACTGCAGGTGTGCCACTGCTTCATTCTTGTTGCCTCCCAGTATCACCTAAATGACTTCCTTTTCTCTCTCTTTTTGACATCCCTGGGAGTTTAAATTCCTTTACCGATGACAGATGGAAGAACATCTTTTGGATCAATAAAAGGAGCCATCGCAGATTTCACAGAGGCAACAAAGCTGCAAAGTCTTCTGGACCTGAACCAAAACCAACAAGACTATTTCCATCAGCTCCAGCTCCGTTCTCCCTGCTTGCCCCACAAGCATTTCATTATATGAGGCTTTCATCTTTATACCGGTGGTCAACACTGGACTGTCCTGCATTCCTGCTCTCTCCAGGCTCAGTTTTGAAGCTATTAGGAGGTGTGAGCCATGGGCAGCTCTTGAGATCAAGGCCTCTGGGAACACAAGTTGCTCCCTCCCTATGCATCACCCAGGTTAGCGGTTTCTACCCTGAAAAGACCCCCGTTTCAAGTCCCTCAATTAAGCGAAGGAAACGTGCAATTCCGAGTTCTCATTTCCTTTGCAACTTTGAGAGAGAGGCTGTTATTTCAAGTTCTGCTTGAGCTGCCAGGATGGAGATTAATCACATCACCCAAAATAGCTGGTGTGCTAAATTTAGAAACCAAGGATGTTGCTTTGTACGAGAGCTGTCCTTCTGCTATGCTAACAAGCCCATGTGCTGCCTTCCGGCAAGGCTTCCCAAGCTATCATGATTTTGCAGGCTCCTTCCGCTCACGCTACAGGTGGGGAAAAATGCGCCAGCATCTCTTTGTTAATGGATCCGACAAGGGAGGACTGTGTTGGGTAGGAGGTGAAATCTGGTGCAGTGTCCTCCATAATGATCTGGTGGCTCCTGTCTCAACTGACATGTCACTGTACTCAGCGAGGCCAAGGGATGTGATACAGCCTGGGAATTCAAGGGTTTCAGTCTTTGAAGCATTTGTCTTACTATGGTTGCTCCAGGGTTTAAAACTCATCTTTTGAAATTGGACTCAGAAAGAGCTTTTAGTATGACACTTGTGATACCTCGTCCACCACTACAGCAGCAGAATTAGTTCCCTTATCGGATATAGATTAGTGCCAGTGAAGGTACAAATTCAGCATCCTTACTCACAGTCCCAGTCATTTCTCCCATGAGCCAGAGCAGTAGGACCAGTGGCTTAGAGTGACCTACTACTTGCAAACCTCGAAGCACTTCCTACCACCTTACAGTAAGGAAAGTGGAGCCTATATTTGATATAGCCATATCAGGGTCTGCTGTCAATGCCCACAAAGGACACTTTGCTTAAAGCCATTTAAGCATTAAATGTGTTATCTAGGCAGGGCTGAACAAGCTAGGTGAAATATCCCCTAATATCAACAACAGCCCAATTTCTTAAGCTAAAGAATCAGCAAGTTTTTTCCAGCAGTATAGACACACACTTTACATTCAAATGCTAACAGCCAAATACATGAATGATTTACAAGGTCAAAGAGAAATTGAATTAGCTCAGTTCTGCATTATGATTGCGTTATGGTTATACTATGCATAAAGCACAGATATAAATCATATGGTTGCCCCAGTCAATTAAATCTGAAAAAGTATTATAAATTTCAGGGTACATAAGATTTGTCACACGCAACTGTTTTTTGCCCCCCACCCCCACCCCCTTGCAACAACATGTCACAAATACATGACAAGCTTAATTTTCAATTCTGGTCTGATCATTACACAACTGCCTGCTGGTAAATTGGTTGTTTTCGTAAGTCTATCCGCATATGCCATTCTTTCTCTCTGCTTGCCCTGTAGACAAGGTCTACGGAGGTGTGATAGCTGTTAGGAGTAAAAAGTCTATGCAGATTAGAGTCCAACTAGCAACAAAAATGCATGAGAATCGCTGTCCGTTACTCAATGCATAGCAAGGCATGTGCATTTTTAGTCACCAGTTACAGTAAAGAAAGTCAGCAACGAGCTGGTTACGCATAACTAATTGTTAATGAAGAAGCCACGTCGGTTTGTCTGTTTGTAACTAGGCATGTAAAGGACTTTGCTATCCACCTACTGTGCAATTCTGTACTAGCGATGCATTTTTGACCATTTTAAAATCCTGAACGATCTCAATCCTCTTTGCTCTGACAGGCTGAGTGTCAGCCTTCACCGGTCGGTGGAGTCTTGTTCAGTGGGGAGCATGGTGAGCTCTCAACTTTTACTCATGCTGTCCTAAAAGACAGAAGCTAACCTCCATGCGTCTTAGGAAAAAGAAAAGTCCTCAGGGAAATAAAAACCAACATCATTTAACCTGCATTAACTGAGACAAAGGTGGAGGGCAA